CAGAAACACAACGTCCTAAACTATAACTAATATATTAAAAAAAAAGAATAGCCAACAAGCTTTGGCAATGATTAGGAACACTTTGAAAAATTTACTTAAAAAACTAACTACACTACACCATACTAAAATCGACTAAAATATTTACTATAATGTCAACTGTAAAAATGGCGTCGATAAGGCATTGCCCTTTTGACCCTTTATCATTTGATTGACTGATGAAGAGCTACCGTATCACAAAGCCTTCTATGCTAACAAGGCTGTAGTTGTTGAGTTATAAGAAAGCGACCATATTACCTTCACGTACTATAGTAGATAGATAACTCTTTATTGCATTAGAACAAAGTTATTACAATAACGCAAAACTCATGGCTTGTAGTCATACGTCATATCGCTTTGAGCGATTTCTGCCTGACAAACGTAGAAGGACATTATCTTAATATATATAAATTACGTGTCACGTTGTTTGTCCGCGATGGACTCCTAAAGTACTAAAGGTTTTAATCAAATTTGCACACCGTGTGAAGTTTGGTCCAACTTGAGAGATAGGATAGTTTTTTTTTGCCCATGAGTGACCCACAATTTTTTTTGCGAACTTAAGGATTTTAAATCGGACGTGATAAAAGGGCAGAACAACGTCTGCTTGGCAAGCTAGTAATTTCATATTTTGACGGATAGGTGCAACGTGCAATATAAAATAAACTAAAAAAATAATTAATATATATATATATATATATTGCAGAAAAAATTTAAAAAAAAATCAAGTATTTATGAAGAGGAAATACATATAATTTATTATTATGATGGGAACTTCAAATAATACTCCTTAAGTAGTTTTTTTAAAAGACTGTAAAAATTGCGCTTTCTGAATGTTAAGTGGTAATGAATTCCAAAATCGCGTTGCTAGTGCAGTAAATGATTTATTATAAAATGAAGTTACGCTTTAAGGATTATTTAAAGCCAAGCTATACACTGAACGCAAATTGCGGTTATGAAATTCATAACGATAGTACAATTGTTACTTAAGGTATCTTGAAGTACCTAAATTAAAATATATATAATATATTTAAAAAAAAAAGAACTAATGCTAGTAGAGGCGAGTTTCTGTATAAACTTAAGTATTTACTTAAGCAGCTCTCGTCAAATACCGCGGAATAATGGTCAAGTCAATCGGTCAAGGCAACAAATCCACAGACAAACATAGAGCTCCTTCATAGATTGTCTTATAACGGTATATTAATATATTGCTGGTGAGACTTTGGTGATATTATAATAAATATCGATTTTATACGTGGTAGCCACGCTGCAGCTGTTGTGGCTGTACCACGAACGAGTCGGCTCGACCGGGGAAGAAAATGCTCTTACATAATACCAGCGTGAAATAGCAGCTTAATTTTGCTGTGTTTCGTATGGTGAGTGTAGAGAACCGAAGACCCTCTTTAATGGAAACGAGGCATTCAATCTCAGTCCTGATGACAACGCACCCGCATTTTGATTCTTAATCGAGGATAAACGTAGATGTCTTTGTGGCACAGTGTCCGCTTATGGGATATGAGATGACTGTGTACTCATTTGTCAACGTATTCTAAAAAAAGTGATAAACTTGATAAAATTCGTAAAAACTAGTCTCATTCAATGTGCAGTGGTCGCGTAAACGTAATAAATCGTCTTAGATATTAGTTTAACCCCGGACTTACGATTAAATCGGGTACTTCGATCGCTAAGATTGCGTAATTCGATCGTTAGTAACATAAACATGTAAAAACCATCAAAACAAGTTTTAACCGCAAACTGAGATGAACAAAAAAAACAGATGAAGTGCTACTTACGGGGGGGATTCAATGTATTCTCGGTATTTGGGCGATTTGCTAATAATGAGGGTAATTAAAAAAATTCATTAGCTAACGACACTACCTGAAGTTATAAATATAAAATTGCGTCTTGATAACTTCATTACTTCCTATGTAACCTTTAATAATAGACAACAGGAATAACTGACTCGACAATGTTGGAAAAATCGAACACCGTGCGGTAATTAAATTCCTCAATAAACAAGGAAAAACCAAAAATCCATGAAGAAATGTTGGTCGTTTACCAAAACTCTGCTCCTTCAGTGTCAACCGTACTAAAGTGGTCGAATGATTTCAAAAGAGGCAGGGAAAGCATCGAAGATGACCCCAACACGTTTAGATCAATCACAGCGGCTATAGAAGAAAATGTGATAATTATTAAAAAATTTGTATAAGAAGATGAACGAGTAAGAATTGAGATGTTAGTAGAAATTACTAACCTATCCGTTGGTACCATACACACCACATTACATGACTATTTCAACCTCACAAAGGTCAGTGCAATATGGGTGCCGCGAATGCTGCGCTTGAAAAGCAGACGCGGGTTGACTGTTGTAGGAAGTTTTTAGTGCTGTGTGGTGACGACCCAAGTGTTTTCGATATGATAATTACAGGAGATGAAATGTAGGTTCACCGCTATGACCCTAAGAGTAAACAGGAGTTCCTTCATAAGTTCACTGCTGAACATAGGCCTCCCCCAAGGTATGCTTCATGCCATAGTTAGTCCATTTGCCATAGTTGCTACGCTTGGCGAGCGGGTTGGCAACCGCAGTTTTGGAACAGGAGTCTATGCAATGGCATAAAAAAGGTATCAGACCCTCATAAGAAGTTCAAAGACAATCCATCCTCCGATAAAATCATGGCCTTAGTGTTTTGGAATTCCAAAGGAATAGTATCGTGTACACAAAAAAAGGTGAAACCATCAACGCACACAAATACTTAGCCACTTTACGCCAATTGAGAGAAACAATAAAAGAAAAGAGAAGAGGAAAGCTGACCAAGGGAGAGCTGCTTCTTCATGACAACGCAACGGTTCACACGGCGCGGCTCTCCGAGGCTGCTGTACGAGACTGCGGGTTTGAAGAAATTAATCATACACTTTACAGCCCAGATCTATCCCCTGGTGACTTTTCATTCCCAAACTTAAAAAAAACCTTTAGGAAAAGCGATTTGCTGACGATAATGAGCTCAATTCCTCTGTAAATGAGCATTTTTCAGGCCAGGACAAAGGATATTTTTACAAGGGAATAAAAAAAAGCTTTTTTCACGAACAAGTAAATGTATTGATGTCATGAGAGACTACATTGAAAAATAAAAAAATATTTCATACTTTTATCTTTTTTCTAACATTCCCATACCGAGAATACATTAAACGCCCTCGTACATTTGAAATAACGCCAGACATTATGTTCAATTTGCTCAAAGACTCACGCACTCATCTGTCTTCTTTGTTGTTGACGGCAAGTGATTTTTCATATGCGAGTGAGACAATCGCGTAAAGGCGAGCACACAGTTCACCTGACGGTAAGTGGATGCTGAGGCCCATAGACATCTTTATTTATTCGCGATTTAGATCAGAATGCAGATGCGTTGTCACCCCTGATGAGTAGAAATACATTACGCTGCTATTTTACGTTCGTACAAATTACGTTGACCCTTTTACTTATAAATTTTAAATAAAATAAACAAAGGGGTCAAAGGCTCAAGGGAATTGTTCAAACAAAATTTACAAACGTTTAATTCAAAAATTTTGTTTTAATTTTTAGTACAATATCAGTGCCATAGGTATATCTATGGTATACTTAATAAATGTCTAAGATCACAAAAAGTTAGAGAATGTTTATATCGCGACAGTTGAATACAGCACGTAAGTTTGTCTAAATATTTAGATTCTGATTGTGAGCGCTTGCAATTAGCAACTAGGTTATTTATTTAGCATCATACGCGGTAGAGTTTTGGTGGCTCAGGTGCTAGGCGTTCACTGCAAATTTTACAGTACGCGAGCAACTCTGGTTCGATCCCCGCCGGCGCCAATGAATTTGTTTATTACATCTTTAAGTGCCGATTTACACACGTGCTCGGCGGTGAAAGAAAACATCATGATGAAACTTTCATGTACGATAAATTAAGAAAAAGAAATATATTTCTTGGATATGTGAAATTCGCCAACACGCATTTGTGAGCGCGGCGGACACTCTCTTGCCCTAAAACCCTTTCAGAAATGAGAATCTTGTGCCCAGGAGTGGGACATATAAAGGCTGTAACTTCACTTGTATAAAAGGAATCTTCGAAGTGTAGGGCGGCTCCTCAAGAGAGATGTAGGTATATTCGATACTCGTATTGTAAGTAATAGCAAGTTGGAGTGCGATTGCATCTATAATAGATGCAATAACCTTAGGACTGCTGTTTTCTTAACATCAATAATTTAAAAAAAAAATACAATATCTCTTGAGGAGTATAGAATAGTTCAAAGTTAAAGAAATATGCCGACTTTAAATTATCTTCGAATCTGGTTACTATTTATATAGGACGCACGGATCTAAATCTGTTATTGCACCTTTGTGGTATTCTTTTAATAGAAATCTCGCAAAATCGGTAAACTAACGTCCAAACATATAAATAAATTTGAAAATTATATGTGGTGATATAAATCTTAAATTGTGTCTGCTAAGGCGTCTTGAGATACTATCACCGTTTGGGTTAAGCTATCTTCATAAGCAAATCCCTAAACTTCGCAATGATGGGACACATCAGCGCAATGTATAGAAATATTGTGTATAAAGTACACGTCAGACTAGGCTGTATGGGCATGAATCCCTTTTCCTAGAAATAAAAATTATACGTATTTATTTTTATAACCTAAAATTATAGATTTCAATTTAAATTTTCTTCAAAACTATTTGTTTTATTGCTTTGTGAATAGTACCACACATGTGATACAAATATCAACTCGAAGGAAAATTAGGCAAATGAAAAATATCTCCTACGTCCAAAAATTTATAATTTTGCGTAAAAAATACTTTTAGATTTAATTTATAATTATTTTACAATGGACTTTTTCACTACCTAAGTTCAACGCTTACTACAGACACAAGAGATGAAATTTTAAAATTTAAGAAATAAAATAATAAACAAAATATTTTTAATACTTACAGAATAAAATGTAAACTTATTAGCAAATAATATTACACTAAAGACTAGCTCAACTCAATCACAACGTTCTGTTTTTATTAATTATTTAATTCCTTTTTTGATTTCGTAAGTACACTTCTTCTTACGATATCGTCTTGCAATGAAAACACGGAATGAAAATGAATTCAAATGCAAATTCACAAAAGCGGGAACTTTACTATAATCTTCATAATTTTAATTGGTGCTTGTTAATAAAAAAATAGGTATACTCTAGGTACATTTTAATTTAGTCGTATACTACATAGAAGCGACAAATCGACCAAAATATCAGGATGACGTCACCTGCTATTGCGTTTGCTTAGCTAGTCCAAGGTCGAGTTTATTTCTTTCAAAATGACATCACTCGGGTAGTCAGTGTGTACCTTTGAGTATAGGTGTGTACCAACATTTTTAATTAATTTCTTGTCCTTGACTTGATCATCTCAAATATTGTTATTTCCTTTATAAATGAAACGTGATGTTTTAGCAATTAGTTCTAACATTTTTACAAAGTTATCTAAATTAATCGTATTTAAATTTCAAGAAAATTTATTTATTAAATGTATTTAAAGAATCGCTTTAATAGTTTAGTATGTTCTAAAACATTAAAATCGTTGTAATAATATATAAAATAATATTTTTTTAATTTAAACAGAAAAACACATACATCTTATTTTGCAAGAAATTGCGGCAAAATGCCAGTATCTAAGCTACGTCTTTGTACTGTCAAAACAACAAAACAAAATAAAAAGTAAAAACGTCAAACTCTGTCAAAATGTCAAATAGTTTGTGCTAGCTAAACAATAAACACCGTAAACAACGTAAGATTTATCTGATTTGCAGAAATATCGTATTTTCGAAAAACATGTCTTCGATTGAAAAGAAACCAGTGTTTCGGGATCTCACAGCAGAGGATCCAGAACCTGAGGTTACTGAAATAGAGTCATTATGTATGAACTGTCATGCAAACGTAAGTGGAAAATTTTACTTCTGGAACCCATTGGATAGTTTTTACTTGCAATGTTTAAAAGAGTCGTTACTAAACATTAAGCTATTATGACTACATACTAGAGGCGACACTGCATTCAGCTACTCTGTTCCACTCAACTGCGGTGCATACACCGCACTTTAATCAGTCACTCGCTAGGCGCTTGTAGAGTTGTCACGTGTTGTGTTGATTTAAAAAAATCTCTTGATAAAAATATGCCGTCGTGTGTACTTGGATATTGCACAAATAATTGTCAGTAAAAACCATGGAATTACTTTTCATCGGTTAATAAGATACTTAATGAATAAAAAGTATTATAAATTAATAATGAAACAAATTATTCCTAAGACGCCATCTCATGTCATGGAATATAGATTATGAAAATTAATTTGTTCAGATGCCACATTTCTGTGGGTACTTAAGTATAGGACGAATATAGTATTATACACATTTCTTTTGTAGAAACATATATAAGTTATCATAATTAGGTTAAATTGTTTTATATTTAAATCTGCCCATTATTCTTTTATTTTATTTTTAGGTTTCCACATTAAAGTCAAGGTGGAATAAATTCGTCAATTTTTAACTCTCGCATGCCCAGCATTTATGAACTACTCTTATTCTAATTTAAATAAATATATTTGTAATTTAAATGTTATCTTAATAAGTTTTGATAAACATACATTTAATTTAGTATGTTATTTTATATTTGACATAGATACCTTTTAAAATATTCAGATAAAAATATCATTAAATATAATTGTGATATAATATTATTTAATATTATATTAAATAAGCAAATATAATGTACAAAATAAAGGACAAAATTTAAATATTGTACTTGATATAATTTTAATTTAGCTATTTAAACAATAAAATATACTATTACCTACGGATCATTCTACCTAAGTTTATTCTATGATAAAAAAAACCAACTGCGCGAACACAGAGTAGCGCACATTTTTTGTTTGAGATAGCTGTTCTAGTACGTAAGTACATATTACTTCAATGTTACTAAAACAGAATTTTATTTGATATATAATCTAATTATATGCAATTAAAACATATATTAAGTGCATTTAGTTTAAATTCGTTTTTCTTTGAAGTGCCAATACTTTATGCATATAACCTATTGGTTGTTAAAAAAAAATGTTTTCAAAATTACTAAAAAATCACAAAAAGCATTTTTGCTTTTTGTGATTTTTTTATGACCCTGTTTCATGTACTAATTGTAATTCATTGCTAATATGTCTTACGATTGTGTCTATAAATCAGGAAGTGAGGGTGTTAATCATTACACAAATTGAAATTGATATATAGCAAGTTTAATGTGATAGAGCAATTTTTACATGGTAGAGCAATGCTGCAGATATATTGTAGTTGTAGCAAGTGGTTGGATTTAGAACTGTTTGGCAGGAATTGGGGGAGTAAGGTGTTTTATATGGTAGAGATTTGGTCCCCGATTATAATAATACCACTCACATTAATAGGTAATTCACCGTTATCGAAAAAATAAATAAAAACTATTATAACCTAAAATACGTAAAATATGGAAAATGATAAATTTTTTATTATTAACTGACTTTACGGCTCCAGGTTCTAGCCCTTCTAAGGAATAATTATATGATATTACTGTGAAAGCTGGATAGCATACAGAATTTTGTGTCTGTGGCGGGAGCAAAGGCAAACTGACTATTGATATCTGATCTGATTGAATCTGTGCCAAAATTAAATCAGCATGCCCCGAATCCACGTAGTCTTGTCTGCCCCACTCCTACAGTGTTTTTGTAAAGCCGTAGGTGCGGAGGGAGAGCAGCCTCCTTCCGTCGTAGCAAATTGCAGGCACCTGTGCGAGCCGTAGTGTGGTTACTATTGTAATATATATTATGTTTATAATTTAAAGTAATTATAAAAGCTACTATCTTGGCATTTTGTTGAGTGCAAGAGCAAGCGAAGCGAGCTCGGGACTTAGGGTACCCCGACTCGGATAGGTTAGGTTGAAAGCGGATGTCGGGGTCAAGTGAGCGAGCGAAGCGAGCGAATAGACCCCGCCATTCCCTTCGTGGTTATTTTTTTGTAAACCACTCAGAAGTAGGAGTACCGCGAAGCGAAGCTCCGTCGACCGGTCTTCCCTCAACTGCGCTACGTGGTGCTTCCCTCCTCCAAATCTCTCGCCCCTAAATCAGGTTTATAGTCAAAAACATTACAAAAACATAACCTCAAAATTAGATTTTAAAAATTTATAAAAAAAAACTAAGCATGTCCGGCAGGATGTGGAAGTAGGTGGCGACTCTACAACTCCCCTGCCTCCTTCACCACCACCTCCACTCCCCTAATTCATTTTGAGTTATGATTTTGAGGTTAGTTCTATGGGATTTTCTTTTTGATTTTTCTCAAGAACGGTGCATTACCTTTTAATGGGAATGGTATTATTATAATCGGGGACCAAACCTCTACCAAATAAAACACTTTAATCCCCCAAATTCCTGCCAAACGATTCTAAATTTCAACCGTAGCAAGAATGGGTTGGCTCGACCTGGGCATGACCATGCTCTCACAGAATACCTTCATAAAATAGCAGCATAATGCTGCTGTCTTTCGTATGGTGAGTGTAGAAAACTGGTGACCCTTTTTACTGGAATCGAGGCATTCCATCTTATTTTTCAGGGGTGACAATGCATTTGCATTTTCATCCTTAGTTGAAGATAAACGTAGATGTCTATGGGCCACAGCATCCACGGGCTTTGTCACACCTTAGTCTTCAGGGGCGACAATGCACCTACACATTTTGATTCTTAATCGAGAATAGATGTAGGTGTCAATAAGCGAAGCATGCACTTACCATCAAATGGGTTGCTGTGCTCATTTGTTACAATTATGCTATAATAATAACATTTTGATTCCAGGGGGTAACCCGTCTTCTCTTAACTCGCATACCACACTATAAAAATGTGGTTATTATGTCATTCAGTTGTGAGCATTGTGGCTATGAGAATAATGAGATTCAACCTGGGGGAGCGTTTGCCGAGCTAGGGGTGAGGTGAGCCAAATATATCTATTTACAATCATTTCATAACATAGTTTAGTGTGAACAGTTTTACCTATGGTCTAATCTTTAATCTATGTTGAAAATCAAAAATTTCCTGTTTCTGTTTCTTCACAAGTCTACTGCTGAACATAGACCTCCCCCCAAGGAATGCCACAAAGTTAGTTAAAAGTCCTGAGCCACCTGTTTCCATTGTCATCATGCATGTCTTACCGGTTGGTCACTCCATCTAGTGGAGGGCCCTACACTTTGCCTATTGGTACGAGGCTACCACTAAAAACCTTTCTTCCCCATTGGTTGTTGCTTGTTTGAGCTATATGGCCGGCCCATTGCCACTTCAGCTTACTAATCCATTCCTGTACATTCTGTGATTATAAACTTTTTTTCCCCACAGGGGAACATCACTAATAAAATATGTTTAAAGAAAAAATAAATGTTTATGGAATGTATAATGATCAAAAGAGAACATTTTGACAGCTCTGTGATGCAGTGGTTTAGCAATGAGTTGCAGGGCTGTGGGTTCGAATCCCACATAGAACATATATTTGTATGGCCTACAAATAATAGATTCAGGGTCTCGATGTTAATCCTTGTGAAATGTATGTATCTAAAGTTTACATATTATTTACTGGTGGTAGTTTAATTTATGGATCCCTAAGAAATCGATTGAAGGTGACAAAGCCACAAAACTTGAAATATAATTTACCTCTTCTTAATTTTGACTATCAGTAAAGTTTGTATAAGCTTACAGAATACCAGCGTAAAATAGCAACTTGATGCTGCTGTGTTTCGTGTGGTGAGTGTAGAGAACTGGAGACCCGTTTTACTGGAATCGAGGCATTCCATCTTATTGCTCAGGGGTGACAACGCATCCGCATTTTGATTCTTAATCGAGGTTAAATGTAGATATCTATGGGCCACGGCATCCACTTACCATCAGTTGAACTGTGTGCTCGTTTGTCACCCTAGTTCATTAAAAAAAAATTAAGAAATTGTACTATGTACCTATTTTGAATAAATACTAGACTTTCTATTTCTTAAATACATCATAAAATTATATCCTTTTCCATTTTCACTTCTGCATCCGCCTCTACCTGCGCCAAAAACGCCTCCGTAACCTCAATGTAAACTACCCCTAGCTATATTATGGTTGTAGCACGAATGAGTCAGCTCGACCGAGGTAGAACCATGTTCTCACAGAATACCAGCATAAAATAGCAGTGTAATGCTACTGTGTTTTGTATGTTGAGTGTAGCAAACTGGAGACCCCTTTTACTGGAATCGACGCATTCCATTTAGTCCTCATAGGTGACAACAAATCTGCATTTTGATTCTTAATTGAGGATAAATGTAGATGTCTAAGAGCCGCAACATACTTTTACCATCAAATAGACTGTGTGCTCTTTTGTCACCCTTATTCTATAAAAAAAAACTGCCTTATACACCATTAACTATTAGGTGGTCAGTGTGTATGTAATGTAGTTAAAAAAAAATCTATTAATATTTAACTCTCTATCACTGTTAATTGTAGTTATTTTTAAATGACCATCTTCAACTGTCTACAGATGGAAGCTCCAGGTAGAAAACCCAATAGATTTAAACCGTCAAGTGGTGAAGAGTGACTATACCAGTGTTAAGATACCGGAAGTTGACTTTGAAATACCTGTACAGAGTCAGAAAGGAGGTTTGTTTTTTCTGCTTCTTTGCATTTAATATTCTGTTCATGTAATTCTTTTTAGAGAATTATTATAAAATTAATAAAATAAAATTTATTAAATAGGGAGCTAAAATGACAATACATGCAGTGGGGATGGAACATAATATGAAAATGCCATAAAAATAACAAAATCCTTAACAAGATCAACAGTGACAATTAGGGTTCTATCAGACAGGCAAGCGGTCACGCGTTCAAGCGTTCCGCGTTCGCGTTTTGTGTTCGAGTGTTCAGTTGCTGACGGATCACGAACGCCTATATGCTGGTTGACCGATGCGGTCAGAATGCCTGCTGTCTGGGTATGTCTATATAACGTAATACGACACAAAGAACGCAGAACGCGAACGTGGAACGCCTGAACGGCTTCTGTCTGATAGATCCCTTATTGATATTATAATATGAGTATGTGTTACTTTGTTGCTTATAAACAAAGTGAAATTGCAAACTAAGATGTTTAGTTCAATGGTGAACTGAACAGGTGCCATCACATCTTCTGGCTTCAATTGTATATTTTATGTCATATATCATTTTTTATAGAATAAGGGTAAGAAACAAGCACCCAGTCCACCTAATGGTAACTGGATACTGTGGCCCATAGAAATCTACATTTATCCTCGATTAAGAATCAAAATTCAGATGCGTTGTCACCTTTGAGGACTAAGATGGAATGCCTCGTTTCCAGTAAAAAGGGTCTCCGATTCTCTACACTTACCATACGAAACACAGCAGCATTAAGGTCACGCTAGTATTCTGTGGTAGCATGAGACTACCCAGGTCAAGCCGACCCATCGATTAACAATCAAAATGCAGATGCATTGTCACCCCTGAGGACTAAGATGGAATGCCTCGTTTCCAGTGAAACGGGTCCTGTGTGGGGGGCCTAAGCTGCTATTTTATTTTACTTATTTATTTTATTTTATTTGGAACACCAACGGCATATAAACGTTACATAAATACAAATTGGACATTTCGACAAAGCCATTAACAGGTATTCGCATATGGTTATTTAAATGTAAAGAAGCCATGTAAAAAACAATAACAATAAATACATACAATACAACAAACAACAATAATAATAAACAATAACAATAAACAAAGTAAAATGAGGAATGTTTTCAAAATTTAGGAGTATTTAAAAATTTGTTGCACCCTCGGCGCGGGGGCCAAAGAACTCCAACTTTGGCCCCCGTTTTTTATGAGGCTTGGTACGGAATAGTTCTAATTTGCCGTTTTTTATTGACAGTTTGTTAAAAAAGTTACTAGCACTAATAATAAATGAATTGCGGCGGTAGTTAGTATTGACTCTAGGAATAGCTAGTGGCTGAGTACGTCTAGTTGGTAATCTGCGCGGAACCCAGATGCTTACCTTTTTCAGCAAAGCAGGGCAATAAATGATGCCTCCGACAATTTTTAATAGATACGTAATATCGAAGAGTTGCCGTCTTTTCTCTAAAGATAAGAAGTGGTATCTATTGCATCTCGTTTCATAACCATGGTGCAATTGCTTACACTTGTATATGTGTATGGACTCAATATGGGAAGTATACACGTTATATTGTGGATTCCAGACCACAGAGGTATTCTCAAAGATACTGCGCACATAAGCACAATAAAGTACTTTAATCGGTTTAATAGATTTAAATTCTTCCCCCCAAAAGCTTTCCACCGGCCCACCCCCCCCACAACAAACCAACACCACCCACCACCCCCTAAAAAAATCTTTTTTTATAAATAATTCTTACACAACCCCCCAAAAAATTTCCAAACCAAAAATAACAACCACCCCCCCCCCACCCAACCCCCCAAAAAAATATTGTAGACGCTTATAATGAAACCAAGAGACTTGGAGGCCTTTTTCACTACATAATCAATGTGCTTATCAAATAGGAGTTTAGAATCTTGAATGAGACCCAGGTCTTTCATAGATGTAACTTTGTTAAGTGACTTATTATTGATTTTATACTGATAATTTATAGGGTTAGATTTACGAGAAAAGGTCATAGCAAAACATTTGGAAACATTCAAATCAAGCTTATTTTGAGTACAGTATTGCACAAAATTATTCACATCGGATTGAAGGCGATCACAGTCACCAGAGCTGTTAGTGGCATAAAGATCTTAGTGTCGTCCGCGTATAATAAGACTCTGGCATGTTTGAAACATAACGCAATGTCGTTAATGAATATAACAAAAAGTAAAGGCCCCAATAAAGAGCCTTGAGGCACGCCAGAAGGAATTGTTATCCACGCAGAGGTAAAACCATTTATTGCAACCGCCTGGGATCTATTACTGATGTAAGAAGAAAACCATCTAAATAAATTACCATGTATACCCGCTTTGTACAGCTTCTCAAGGAGCAGCAAGTGATCTATACGATCAAAAGCTTTACTAAAGTCAGTAAAAATACAATCGACCTGTAGCCCTGAATCCATTTGTGAAGAGGTGTATTCATTAAAAACTAAAAGGTTTGATACAGTCGACCTCTGCCTTAAAAAGCCATGTTGTTCAGGAGTAAAAGAAGACTGCAGTGTAGCATATACCTGTCGGTAGACAACTTTCTCAAATATTTTGGC